CCAAGCATGATGTCTTTCTCCAGTGATTGGTCCCTCCTGATAACATGTCCAAAGTAAGTAAGATGAAATCTCACCATCCTTGCATGTAAGGGGGATTTTGGCTGTACATTCTCTAAGGCAGATTTATTCATTATTCTGGTAGTCCATGGTATATTCAATATCATAATTTGAATGTGTCAGTCCTTCCTCTGTCTTCCTTTTTCACTGTCCAGATTTTGTATGCATGTACAACAATTGGAAATACTATTTTAGTTTGGGTTCTCTAAAGCAGTAAAACCAGGAAAGCATGTACATAAATATACAGAAATTTACTTCAAGAAAACAGCTTATGCAATTGCGGAGGTGGTAAGTCCCAAATTTTGGGGTAAGGTGGGAGGCTGAAGGCTTCTGCTGCCTCATGTGATCATAGGGCTGATGAACCCAATATCTGCAGGTCAAGTGGCAGTCTGGAGGCCTCTGCTGGTTCATGGGGTTATGGGGACTGGCAAAACCAAACTCTGCAGGCTTACATCCCAAGAACTGGAGGTCAGGCAATGAGAAAAAGGCAAGGTTGAGAGACAGAGAGAGAGCGAGCGAGCGAGCTTTGCCATCCATTGATATACTGGAAACAGGCTACACCCCCAAGGAAACTCCCTTTTCAATTGGCTGATTGGCTGCTCACATGGATCACAAAATGGAAGATGATTACATAGTGTCTGCTAAATCACTGAGAATCACAGCTTAGCAAAGTTGATACATAACATTCACCATCACAAATATCACAGTTTGGATCAGGTTCACCTTAGTCATTAAAGTGACATCTTTTTTTTTTTTTTTTAACACTTTAAAAAGGTCTTTTGCATTTCTTGATTGCTGCTTCCTTAGGCATTGATTGTAGACCCAAGAAAAATAATATGCTTGACACCTTCAATTTGTTTTTGCCATTTATCATGAAGTTCATTGGTCTAGTTGTATGAATTTTCATTTTATGTTTAGGCATAATTCATACTGAAGACTATAGACTTTGATTTTAATCAGTAAGTGTTTCAAGTATTCTTTGCTTTTAGTAAGCAAGGTTGTATCATCTACATAGTTTAGGTTGTTAAGGTACCTTCCTCCAATCCTGATGTCATGTTTTTCATCATGTAAGTTTAGTACTCATATTAATGAACTAGGTAAAATTTGTTAATGTAAATTGTTTAAATAAAACCGGAACTTAGTTTGGCTTCTACAGGGAAAAATTGGTAGAAAGAGCAGAATTCTGATCTGCATTCTAGTTCTGCTCTGCTCTTAACTGTCTGCATAACCTAGAAAGTTCTAGAGCTATCACAGTCACTTTGACAAACTTTGGTTTCTCTATTTACCAAAATGTAAATCTAATACCTAACCTAGCTGAGAGAGTGGATTTGTAAATGAAAGCATTTTAAACAATACACCTATTCCTCACTTATGACTGTCTTGTCATCTGACATTTACAACAATAGCAAAAAAATCTACTGTACAACTATTTTATGCATTAACGACATACCTCTGGCAGTAACAAATTCTGTGGTATGAGGTGTCAACTTGGTTAGGCTATGATTCTCAGTGGTTTGGCAGTTACATACTGATATAATTTGGTAGTTACGTAATGATGTAGTCATCCTGCATTTTGCGATCTGAGGTGATCATCCTCTGTTTTTGCGTAACACCAATTTTCACATAATTACCTGGTCTTTGGAAACTAACCATGTGGGTAAGTGAAGAGTGGGTGTATAATGTAAATTATTATCTGTTGGGGAAAAGCATATGCCAGGCACACTTAATTTTCATGGTAGTTTAAATATCAGAGGCTGAGTTGTAAATTATTTCTTTTAGGGTTTTAGCAACTTACAATTTCAGAGTCTATGTAAAAAAATTCTATACCAGGGATGGTCTTTATGTTGTATTTGGCCAAACAGATCTACCATGCAGTTTAGAAGAGAGTCCCCAGATTACGAACATCTGATTTATGATTTACTGAAAATTTGCACTTGCCTTTTATTCTTATGTAAATTTGCCCTCACTTTGAAAGGACTGAACTAACTTCTACTTGCAAAAAATTCTTCATCACAATCACCTTTACTTGCTGCATGTGCAGCTTTAATCTGTGTACAAAAAACCCAAAACCCACTGCCTTCAAGCAGATTCTGCCCAATAGCAACCATTTTGGACAGGGTAGAACTGTCCGGTAGGATTACCAAGGCTGAGAAATCTTTATCAAAGCAGACTGCCTCATTTTTCTCCTGCAAAATGGCTGATAGATTTGAATGGATGACTTTTGGGTAGTGATTGAATGCTTTAACCATTATGCAACCAGAACTCCTTTCTTGAACACACACACACACTGCCATTGAGTCCATTCCGAGTCATAGCGACCCCCATTGGGTTTCTGAGGCTGTAAATCTTTACAGAAATAGATCGCCCTGTCTTCTGTCTGCAGAGTGGCTGGTGGGTTTCGATTGCTGACCTGGTTAGCAGTCAAGTGCCTTATCCACTATGCCACCAGAGCCCCTTCTATTGGGTTTAAAAAAAAACAAAAAACAAAAACCAAACTCACTACTGTTGAGTTGGATCTGACTCATAGTGACCCCTCCTTGGGTTTCTGAGGCAGTATCACTACAGAAGTAGATTGCCCAACCTTCCTTTGAGTAGTGGCTAGTGGGTTTGGACCACCAGCCTTCTGGTTAGCAGTCACATGCTTTAGGCACTATGCCACCAGAGCTCCTTCCATTGGTTTTGTTGTTGTTGTTGTTGTTATGTGCCGACAAGTCAGACCCGACTCATAGTGACTCCTCCTTGGGTTCCATTGGTTTTAGGAGGTGGTAAATCTTTATGGAAGTAGATTGCCCCATCTTCCTTCCGTGGATCTACTGGTGGGTTTGAACTGCCAACCTTGTGGTTAGCAGTCAAATGCCTTGGGTACTGCAGCAACAGAGCTCCTTCTTGCACTGTAGTAAGGATAAATAAGATCTGTGTGCACCGGTTCCAATTTACCTACAAATTCAACTTAAAGACAAATCTAGGAACATAACTTGTTGGTGGGAGCTCTGGTAGCATAGTGGCTAAGACACTTGCCTGCTAACCAGACGGCTGGCAAACCCACCAGCCACTCCTCGGAAGGAAGGTTGGGCAATCCTACTTCCGTAGTGATACTCCCTCGGAAACCCAAGGAGGGGTCACTATGAGTCAGGTCCAACTCGACGGCACATAACAACAACAACAACTTGTTGGTAATCCCCATTTCTGCCTGTACTACTGATGGTGATGACTAAAATCCAGATAGAATATCATACAAATTACAGAGTATATAATAAATTCCACTTTACTGTGGCATTTGGGAAACAATTGCTTTTCTCAGAATTCAGGTCAAGGGCAGAAACATAATTATCATTTATACATGCTAGCGTATGTATAACCTCAATTTTTTCCTTCTCAAGTATATATAAAGTTCACATGCGTTGTGGATTTTCTTTAAGTTTGTTTTGCTTCTTTTTACATAGGGAACCTTTGTTGGCTTTTAAAATGTAATTTAAAAATGTTGTAACTGATGTATTTTTACCACCAATAAAAATAAATATATATGACAAAATGAATGCAAACTCATTTCTGCCTGTAAGATTTGTTTTTTTATTCTACTCGCAGCGAGGAGAAAAATAGGAGCTCATTTCTTTTCCCTTTGCCAATGGCAAACTCATTTTCCTAACCCACGTGGACAGTTGAGCAAAGTCTAGCGTGCTTCAGTCTCCTGACTCGTGCAATACCATCTGTGGACTCACACACATCCAGGTTTGTACGTTGGATGGGGCAAGAGTCAACTTGGCATGGGTTTTCTGCTTCAACTATGAAGATTGTGCTGACGATGTAGCTCTGCTGTGAGCCTACAGCATCTGCCCACTGTATATGGAAAGAAATTAAGAGTACTCAACAGTGTACTCAGTTACTTCTAGTACTCCTCTAAGTATATTCTATATTCCTGTGTGTTCCGAGTGGGAGATCACACACACATACACAGTCTCTCTCACATTCACACACGTGCGCACAGCACCTCAACCCAGATGCAGGCGGAAACACGTCCTTCGGTCACCCCAAGCTCTAGGTCCCTTTCTCCACCGCCTCACCCCACCATCCCGACTACACGAGGGCGCACCCCGGATCCAGGCAGCTGCGCTCCCTAAGGTGCCCTTAGCCGGCCCCCAAGGCGGGGGAAAGGAGCGGCCCTCGGGTCGGACGGACAAAGCCGGCGTCCAATCGAGCCCGGCACTACCTCCCCGAAGGGTGGGAACGGCGACTCGCACCGGCCCAATGAGAGAGGAGCCCGAGTGGGACTTCCTCCCGAAATCCCGTTGGCTAGAATAGCCGGGCCGTGGGTGACACGTAAGTTGGGTGGGAGGCGGTGGCGGCTGAGGCTCCGGCAGCCAGCTCAGTGACACCGGCCCGCCGTCTCCCAAGCCCAGCCAGGCAGCCGGCCTCCACCCATCTGCTAGCCCCGCGGGCCGCGCGTGGGGGCGCCGCCGGGCGCCCGGAACCGAGTTCCCTTTGTTGGGCTCGCACCCCTCCCTTAGGTGCACATAGTCGCACAGTGGGAGTCGCCGCGAGGGGGTTGGGAGCGGCCGGGGCGGGACTCCGAGCGCCGCCGGACCGCGGGGCCAAAAAGTGTGGAGGCAAAAGGGCAAGCAGCGTCTGGAGACAGGCGCAAGAGCAGCCCGCTCAGAAGTATGCGGAGGGCCCCATCCCGGGCCCGGACACTCGCGGCGAGCGAGCCTTGCAAAAGTTTGGTGGCTGCTGCCCCAGCGGCGTCGATGGCTGCGCGCCCCGCGGGGCGCGGGGGCTGAGGCGGGTACCACTTCCCCTCTGGCCCCGCTTTTGTGTCTCGCGTCGGCTTCTCATGCTTCGTCCGGCCACCTCCTGCGGCGGCCGCTGCTGAGGCGCTCGGAGTGACGGGACCAGGAGAAGGAGACGGCGGCGGCGGGAGCGGCCGCGGCGCGGGTCCAGGCGGGACTATGGGAAACGGGATGTGCTCCCGAAAGCAAAAGCGGATCTTTCAGACGCTACTGCTGCTGACGGTGGTGTTCGGCTTTCTCTACGGCGCGATGCTCTACTATGAGCTGCAGACGCAGCTGCGAAAAGCCGAGGCGGTGGCGCTCAAGTACCAGCAGCACCAGGAGTCCCTCTCCGCCCAGTTACAAGGTACGGTTAACGGGACGTGCGCGGCCCTTGGCCAACTCTGCCCCGCGCTTCCCGCCCCAGCTAGAAAAGCGGCTTTGGTGAGCCGTTGGGTCTGCGGGTGCCACTTCTGACCTTCAGGAACACTAGAGGCGAGCGATGCAGGGCTGCCCACCCTAGTATGTCAGGGGACCTCATCCTCCCGCTTCTTCCTGGCGGTTACGTTTGAGATTGATAGCACCAGCCCCTTGTCCCGCGGAGGGTTTGGTGGCAGGGTACACCCACAGCCCTTCCTGGAGCACTTGTTATAGGCCCAGCAGGCGCTCCAGCGACCCTTATGCTGCCCTGCCAGTTCCTCTCTGAGGAGGCAGGTTTCTAGGTTTTTGGTTTCCAGTCGACTCTTGTCAGTCGCCTAAGAAATGGAGAATTTGACAGGGATTTCTCAAACTCTGCTGTTTTCCAGGGAACTTCTAAGCCATGACCCAACAGCCCAAAGTATTGGCCTAGTCAAATGGAACATAGTTTCTTATTCTGTTAACTCAGTAGGATGACTTTAGGGATGTTGGATTGGTTGAAATAGTCTATATACTACTTACTGTTCACCAGCCTGCAGGTATGTTTTTGGTTTTTTTTTTTTTTAAAAAGGTGTATTTGTCTTTTTGAGTAGGTTTTAGTTTATCACAAAGGGGTGTGTGTGCTTTAACCAATTGACCTTGGGAAGCTGAAGAGGAGAAATACAATTTTTCACTTATCAGACACAGCGAACACAATTAGAGTGGAAGATATGTGGAAAGACAAAGTTTATAACCTGTTTTAGAATCTCATTTGATGTAAATGTCAGAAACAAATGACTGCAAAGAAGCACAGTGTGGTGCTGTTAAGGAGCAAAGTGGTATATTCATATAGCTTTTAAAGCTCTTACTTGGGTTAGTTTTTAGCACATGCACTGCCCTCCCTCTGACCACAAAATTAATAATGACAGTAAAGCTATAAACAGTGGAAATGTTGACAGTCTGCTTATAATGTAACTATAGTTTATTTCATATTAGTAGGAAGATACACGTTGTTTGGATGTTTCTGTCTGTATGTGTATACAAGTATAAAACAGATACATTTTTGTTGTTCCAGCTATTTTGAGTATTTTGTAGTAAATTTCAGATGAGTGAAAATGATACACAGCTGATTGCTTATTCTTATTTGCTCTTCCCAGCTTAGGAGAAAGGAAAGTATTTTTAGCTTACTGAAGCTGCTTAGCTGCAGGCAATGACAGTATATGAGTTGGGCTTGGTTCAAAAGAGAAACCTATTTTGGTAAGCTTAAGTTACTTTTTTTATCTTTAAAGTTATTGAAATTGACCATGTTGAAATACCCATTTGGTATGAGAAAGGGTGAATATTTATTTAGTAATTTATAAGACGTCAACAGCTTCCTTGTGAAGTTTAGAGCAGTTAGAACTAGGAAACAAACAAACAAAAGTGCATCTAATAGTACAACACCAGCACTGAGTTTTCCAAATCTGGCTGGAAGGTGGATTATATGAGGGTTGTGTAGGGTTATTTTAGGAACCTGTGAGGGCAGGTGCTGTCACGTTTACCGTTTACCAGTACATCCTCAATACCACAAAATGCCTGACATTCAGGAGGGAATCAACATATATTATTATTCAGTCAGTAAACAATATCATTCCAAGCTATGGTAGAAAAATTAATCTCAGGCACTTTTGTCTGCTTTCTTGGACTTCACTTTTGTGTCCTTGCTTTTAAAATCAAAGAAAGCAACACAAATTAAGAAAAGGAAAAAAAAAGCCTCAGTAGCTCACTGCCTCAACTGGCTGTACTGGAACATGTTGACTGAAGCCTTGATTTCTGAATCATGACCTTTGTTTGCAATAATTCATTTTGAAAATCAATCTCAAGTTCTTTTGTCCTTTTATTTGCTTCTTGTTGGTGATGGTAGTAGGGATGGGCGGAGGAGGAGTCACTGAGTGCACAGTGAACAGACTTGGCTGCTAACCAAAGGTTACAGATTCTAGTCCACTCCCAGGTGCCTAGGAAGAAGACCTGTCAATCTACTTCTGAAAAATCAGCTATTGAATCCTGTGGAGTACAATTCTACTCTGACACATGTGGGATCACCATGACACAGTCAACTCAGTTGCAGCTGGTTTTTAATGAACAGAGTAGTGGGGAGGGGAGTGGTGATAAGTGGTAATGCAAGGCCATTAAAATGCACTTTTACTTTGCAGCAGGAGATGAAGATGTAGCTAGTGTGAATGAGTGACCTTAAAGTCTAGTACTTAATTTATTCCTTTGCCATTTTCTACTGAATTGTGGTGCTGCAGCAATTAGAACATGATAGTTCATGAGGAATACTTCCCAAGCAGGATAAAGATTTTCTTCTTTTTTAAAAGGATTGGTGCGTTCACTACTGTCCACTGACTTCTGTAGCATTTATTTTGGATTTCACATGAGTGAGCCATTTGGTGAAGATTTTCTGATGGTGTGCAGAGTTTGCTTTTCCTTTTTACAGAGCAGGATATGTACCACCTGCAAGGATAAGTCTTAAGGGCATCAGACTCTCCATTCTTAAGACTTACGCATTTAGGCAAGTTTCTTGACCTGGGTTGAACTAAGATCAGAGTTCATTGTGAGTGAGTTACTTTATAAAATTGACTCTTTAAAAAGTTAAGGTAGTTTGGTCCTGTAGTCTTGAAGGTATACGTTTGTTAAGTGAGCATATTTAGGTCATTTTCAGTTTAAGAATGGGTTGTACTCTAGAGCTTAGTGTGAAAGTAGTTTACTTCTAACCCCTGGTACATTTTGTTTTAGGGAAAAAAAACCCTGAAACCAAACCTACTGCCTCTGAGTCCAACTTATAGTGACTCTATTGTAGAAGTCTTATAAATAGGAGGTAATGCAGGGTCAGCTAGATTAGGCAACTCCATCTCCATTAATAACAAGTATATTTGCCTATCTCTGTGTATCATTGTCTGTCTTTAGTTCATCTTGTACCTTAAGTATACTTAGGAATGGGACAGGGGTCATATACTGGTGGCAGAGGTAGTAACAACCTTTGTTTTGACCAACACAGTTTTAATTTAACCTTCAAGTTTTTAAAAACTGCTTTCAAGTGGTCATGAACCATTTCTCTGTATTTATACACAGTGGTTCTCAGCCTTGACTGCCCACTGGAATCATCTGGAGAGCTCCCAGATGAATTAAATCACAATTATAGGGGTGGAACCCAGACATCAACAGTCTTTAAAGCTCCCCGGGTGATGCCAGCTTGCAGCTAAGGTTGAGAACCACAGCTTTATAATCTTAAAACTGAGCCACTTTTACTGTATTTTACTTGCCAGGTCCCAAAGACATTTGGGGTTTTTTACCTTCAGTGTGCGTTTAAAAGCAAAGGCTGGTTGTAGTAAAACAGATTGAAGTTCAAATCCTGCCCTTGTAACTTTGTGTGTGAATTTGGGCCTGAAGTTTTCCTATTTATAAAAGAGATTCCAAAACCGAAAAACCAACGTCACTGCTGTGGAGTTGGATCCAACCCAGAGTGACCCCTCCTTGGGTTTCCGAGGCATATCACTATGGAAGTAGATTGCCCAGTCTTCCTTCCGGGGAGTGTCTGGTGGGTTTGAACCGCCAGTCTTCTAGTTATCGGTCAAATGCCTTAGGCACTACACCACCAGAGCTCTCATAAAAGAGATTAGAATTACCTGTTTCATAGAGTTTTTGTGAGACTTAAATAAGAAAATGTCCGCAAAGCTTCTAGCACATAGTTGGCATATGTTGTTGTTGTTATGTGCCCTTGAGTCGGACCTGACTCATAGTGACCCCTCCTTGTGTTTCTGAGGTAGTATCACTATGGAAGTAGATTGCCCCATCTTCCTGCCGAGGAGTGGCTGATGGGTTTGAACCTCCATCCTTCTGGTTAGCAGTCAAGTGCCTTAGGCACTATGCTACCAGAGCTCCCAGTTGGCATATAGTAGGTGCTTATTAAAGATTAGCTGTAATTACCATGGGGTTGAGACTTTTGTTCACACAGCTTGGGACGGAACTGTTGCAAAATTTGTGAACAGTTGTTGAATTCAACTGCTCAGCTGTGGTCTGTTTCTCTTATTCTGAGTTACCTTGTCTGAACCCCTGGTTGTATGGAAAGTCTGTGCTGCTGAGATTGGGAAAGTTGTACTTGAAATGGTTCTTGGAATCATTCTGCAGATTTGGGCAGAGGCAGCTGGGACACAAGTATCTGAAGACTGAATTTGACACCTGAAGTTCTCCAGTGATTGGGAGTTCAGGAAGTGCCCACAGTTCTGGAAATGGCTCTGACAGCTACTGAGGAGAGCAGGTCTGAAGGCAATTCTACGGATGGCATCAGGGCAATTCCTAGAATGTTTGTTAGCTCCTCAATTTGAATTTACCTGACTAAATAAAGTATCAATTACCAAACACAGTATTTTGATTTTGAGAATATATGAACAAATGATAAGTTATAAAATGAAATCTGCACTGATTAAGTTTGTTAATAATTTAAGAGCCGGGTGCTTCAGATAACTTAATCTGATAAGAATGTGTGATTTAGAGAAACCAGGGGCAACGCTGACATGTTTCACATGTTCCATACTTTCTAGAATGTTGTTTTGCCAGTTTTTATCAGCATTAAATTCTCAGGAGAAAATGAGAACTGAGCAGTACATTTATACTTCTGGTGGTCATATTTCTGTCACCTTGTCATTCAGAACTAAAACCTGGAATAAACAGGATAAGGGTGGGGAGCAGGGGGATCTGAGCAACAAGGAAAACAGATAAACTGGCATAAATCCAGTGTACTTTACTCTGGAGAAGGGATCTTCCCCCAACAGTTTAAACTTAGAATTAGAGTATGGTTACTGATTAACTCTCTTTTGGGTCACTAGGAGGGGGTGTGACTGCTAGAGAAACATGTGAAAAATAAGATGTGTGACAGATATACATAATTAAGTGAAAATACAATTTTTAAAAAGCATTTAGTGTAGGAACCAA